AAAGAATTAAACAATATTTACGATTGGTTTGGACACTTGTTTATTTTATAAAATATCTTTACATTTTTTGCGAAATAAATAACTTTAAAGTACAGAAATTCGTAATATTATCGCATAATTTGCACCGGCCCAGCACAGTAAATTCCATGCTTGAATCTATTTACAGCTTAAGAATTTTACATATCTATGTTTCCACTCTATTATACCTAAACGGAAAAATAATTTTTATTACCTTGAGCACTGGGTTTAATATACGGTAAGTTCGCCGAATGAGTACTAATACAGAAAACTATTGGGCGAGTCCTTAACTTTAAATATAGATTAACCAGCGCACAATGGGACATTTCATGACATAAATTATCAAAGTCGTCAATCTAATTTAGTTATTTATATTAGACTAGTTATCATAGTGTATATGTACTTTCGAAAACTATTCCAAAAAAATTGTACATTATTATCTTAATAACTACATTCAATAATATTATCAAAGGTGTGTGACTTGACGTTGTTATCTCAGAAGGACGTAATCGAAATATTTTTGATATTCCTAACCATGATTACATTCAATTAGGATTACATAATTTCAAAGAAACATTAAAGTATCAACATTAGTATCAACAATACGTATCGAAGTTATGAAACATCAGTAACCATAATATGCAATCAACATTTTGCCCAACTCTGAATTAAATTTATATTCTATTATTTTTTTCTTTTAACAATATTATAATTTCTATAAATTGATAAAAATAAAACTAAATAAACAGGTCCCTATCAAACTATCTATTTTTAACCAAGCTTTTGCGGAATGTGACCCACTGTGCATAGGTCACTTTAATATGAAAAATTTTAATTTCTTTTATCAGTTTATTATTTTTACCAAAAACTCTTAATACAAATTTAAATATTAGTTTGAATAGTGCCAAGTAGAAGTACAGTCAACAGCACATTAATTTACACAAAACTGTCTTGTTTTTACTCTATTTTAAACCTTAATGTGTTAAGAATGAATAGCGAAATCGCTGGTAAATGAGGTTTTGAAACTTAATGCGCTGCGGTGTGTACATTATTGCGCAGCGCTTACACGCCGGTTGTCTGAGTTAGCGTAGTATTAAAAAATCCTTTGTATATTTATTATTTTGACTCCTTTCAGTCACAATGTTGCCGCCATTTTGGCTGCAAGGCGGGCGTAAATGATTCCCTTTGCCAACTACCCTCCGATCTTTACTGATAAAATGTCCATATATTCAAGTAACATGCCTTAACTCTACAAAACTAACATAATTCAATAGAAATTGTGAATAATGGATGATTAGATGAACAGTCTACCGTAAAGTGGGGCTATTGGGGACAGTTTTTTGACAAAATTGTAATTTTTTCTAAAATTTTCTATTAGAGAATGCCGAGGCTTAATTTCAACAGAGATATATGAAGACACTTATCAGTAATTGGTGTAGGTTGTATTTGTAAGAGCAATGATTGTTTAAAAAAAAATATTTAATCCTGTGTCCCAAATAGTCCACGGGTGGGGCTTTGTGGGACACTTACACGTTTGTGCGATTTACGCCTTATTTAATCATCAATCCCGGATAGACTGTTTGCCGTACTATTCGGGACACATTATTGAACTATATAGTGAATAAAAAAATTTGATACTTGACTTTTTTACTTACACTTTTTTTAACTTAAAAAAAAACTTTTATTTTTTGTTGGTACAGGTATTTATTAACTTCAAAACATGTTAACAGAGTTACAATTTATAGCTCAGAACCTAGAAAAGAGTGAGAATTATTTACCTAATTATTTAAAATTCAAATAAAAATTAAAGAAAACACAAAACTTTTGAAGTAGGTAACTAGCAAACAAAAATAAACTTCTAAAATTAATTCTTAAAATCTAGGAACCCAACGATTATCCTTGGATGTAGGAACTTTATTTAGGAACAAGGTAACGCTTAACTTAGACTACGTCTGGTTTGGAAACAGAACTAGAGAGGTGACTGAAGTAAGGGAGTCGCAACAACGTTAATAATCAAAGTAAATAAAGTCATCATCATCTAAAAACACGAATTCTGTTCTCTTTTCATTTAATGCTAACAGATCACAAGTCTTAACAACTGTTTTGATGTCTACAATATCTATGTCTTCCTTCTTTGGTTTTGTGAACTTTGTATTGTCATTTCTACCATGCCTTTTAAAAAATGATATTTTCACTTTCCCATCCTTAAAAACGTTTAAAACAGCTCCCACGTGATACTCTACTTTTTTCTTGAACACATATCGCACTATCACAGCATCATCTATTCTGAGTGCGACAGACTCGTCAGGAATATTCGCACTACTGCATCCGGCTTTAGGTGATGTGTCGTGTCTCTCTGCTTCTGTAATGTTTAGTGAATCACTTACGTCTTGTTTTGGTTTAAGTGATTTTTTTTTGTTTTTCTGTATATTATCAATTGTCAGATCAATCTGTTGTTCTGTTATAAAACCTTCATTGTTTGCATTATTTTCTTCCAAATCTTGCTGTTGGTTTTGTTGCAATAGCATAAAATAATTATTGTTATCTGTGTCTGTGTCTGAAAATAGCAGCTCATCATGAGGAATTTCAAATTCATGTTCATTACAATCAAACATGTCTACATCTGAGTCGCTATGTACGCTTAACGTTACGTCGCTATTGCTTGTTTCGCTTTCACGCTTGTTTTTTTGATTGTTGCTTTTTTTCTTTAGCTTATTTTTTTTATTTTCCTTTCCCTTCCGTGTTATTTGCTTTTTTTTGCGTGTTATTTCCTTGTTACTGTCATTGAGTTTGTTTTGTATATCCTTTAATGTAATGCTCTTACCAGCTGGCACGTTGCACCGTTTTTTTCTCGGTTTGTTGGTCTCTGACTGCGAGCCTCTTATAGTTTCTAGCATGTCAACTACAACAGCAGACACATTTTCTTTAATAGTTTCTGAGTTGCTAGTAGTTGGGATTCTGGATTTCGGTCTGTCCCTGTTAATCGGATATAATCCACATTTGTTAAATCCAGAAATCAGATTTCGTGAATCGGAACCTTTATCTTTTAACATTGTAAGAAGTTTCTGGAGCAATTCTGGAAATGCATTTTTGGCTAAAGTTTTCTGCTTTCGCCCTGTAGTCCTTTTCCACTCTGTTAGTATGACTCTCCAATAGTGCTTGAGTGGAGCATAAAACGCCACATCTAGGGGTTGTAGAATGTGGGTGGACTTTGGAGGTAGACACACAAAGGAAATGTTATATTTTTCGCACTGTTCGAGGACAGTTTCTGAAAAGTGTGAGGAAAGATTATCTCCTAATACGACTACCTTACGTCCATTTTTAGATTTGGCGTATGGAATGACGACACTTATGAACCAATCCTCAAAACAGTGCGAGTCAAACCATCCACTTTTCGTTTTATTATATCTCACATCTTCGGGTCCACCCAACATCCACGTGTCGTATAAATGTTCAGATTTATAAACAACATACGTGTTCAATAGTGTCCCGTCAGCAGCTCCACAAAACATTAAACTAATTGCTGTCTTTGTTGAGTTTACTACCCTTTCTGGATTCTTCGTACCTCTTTTGTATATGAATTTTTGAGCTCCGGGATCGTCGGTTAAATTTGTCTCGTCATAGTTAAGTATGCAGTCTGGATCTACACCTCTCACGCTGTCTTCAAAGTTATCAAAAAAATTGTCGATGGTGGTTTCATCCAACTTCGCCCGATCGGTAGTAATATTAGACGAAAGTCTGTTTGAGATCTCTTTGTCATATCGACGTATGAAATTAACAGCCCATTCACGTCCAGGCAGGTTGTCATTTAGCCAAGCTACTCTCCTGCCAATCTTATCCAAATATCTCTTGGCTAATACCCTTAAGTCTTGAATATTAAAGGGGAAACCCCACAAACCAACGACCTGTATGTATTTCAAAAAAGTCGACTCTTCGGTTTCACTAAAAAGAGTAGGATGGCCAGGTGTTTCGTGTGTGGTGCCCTTTATATGTCTCTCAATCGTTGATTTCGGTACATGATACTCCTCAGCTGCTTGTCGAAGACTTAACTTTTTGCTTCGTACGTCCGCAACTGCCTTTTCTAAACATTCGCGTGTGTAGGCAAAATATGGTTTGTGAACTTTGCCTTTTCTTGTAGAAATGAGCTTTCTTTTATAATTTCGGACCATGTTTACCTGCAAAATAATATAAGCATCTAAGTTAATTTGTTAGTGTTAGTGTAATTAATTCCTATTTTGAGTTAAAATTTAAAAAAATAAAAGTATCAAGATCATAAATTCACTTACTGAGGCTATTCGGGACAGTGTCCCAAATAGCCTCGTAAGGGTGTCCCAAATACCCCCATCCGAAGAACTGCTCGCTAATTCTAAGCAGTCGTTTAAATTAACAAGGATTCATGTTTACATTACAGCCTGCTACATTTATCAAAGTATAAGAGGTACATGAAATGGCTACAATAACACAATTTACTAATATTGGAGAAGTTTTGCTTACCTTTTTTTTGATGACTTTTCACATTTACTTTTCTTCACGTTCAATTTCACCAAATCATAGACAAAATGTCAAGTGACATTTTTTTTTTGAAGGTCAGTTATGTTAGTGTTGCCATATTTAAAAGAGAAACTTCTACTAATAACCGTAGTAGATATAATGAAAGAAATACAATTTTGCATCGTTCGTCCCAAATAGCCTCACATTTCCCGAATAGCCCCTTTTTACGGTACTATAAAAAAAAATCTTGCATTCAGTGAATTTTTGTTTTCAAATCTATATTTAAAAATCATAGGACTAAATGGACAGAATATTAGTATTATTTAAGCCTTGAAAACGCCTTATAAAACTGAGTTTATGTGTATTTAGTACCTACATATTGAAGGTTACGCTATTGCAAAGAAAATATTAAATTTAAAGTAAGTTTTAGTCCCGGCTGTCTTTGTTTTATATTTATATTACTAATACGAATTTCGAACTAAATGTAATACTCAGGAAGAACTGAAATTTTTCCTTTGACGATGGGAGTACGGATACCGTTTGATCTGCGAAGGAATACCTCGAGGTTGTTCCTTCTTCATTGTTAATGTTATTTCTGAATTCAGCAACTGATCCAATGTCTGTAAAGGATTTTTTATACATTAATACCATAACCTTTAAAAGTTAATAAATATATAACATTTGCGTTTTTTTTTACCAGATGTACCTGGAAAAATCTCCCAGACTTAGCGCAAACCAAACATTACTCATATTAATGGTATGAATGAGTAAGTAAATAACTACATAGGGGGGATCATTTAAATCGTTGGCTAAATGTGTGATACTGCTATTCGAATATTGACATAAAAAGAACTTGCACTTGGAAATGTATATTATTACAAACACAACGTATAGACTACTATATTGAGTCTCTTATAGATTAACATTAAAATAATGAAAGGTAATAAAAACTATGGTTTATACTAATATTACATTGATTTTCAATGTCTACAACTATGTCATCCAAATATAAGGCAAGGTCATTGGAATTTTCTTGATGTCTAGCACATCCATTCCATCACAGTATATAATACGCTCATGTCATAAGCGCTACCCTAAGGCAGAACAACGAGCGACACTGCGACATTGTCGCAGACAGCCGAGTAGGTCTGCAGACAGTTCGGCAGTCTTAGGGGGCGTCCATAAATTACGTGAGGTGTTTTTTAAATTTTCTTTCCCTCCCTTCCCCCCTGGTGAGATGTTGTGAGATTTTATTCAACCCCCTCCCCCATCCCCCAATCTCACGTGAGATTTTTCAAAATGCAATTTGATGAGTACTTGCGAGTATTTGCCTTGTTGTAGTATCGAGTAATCAGTATCGAGTATCGCTTTTGAAAGTATCGATACATACTCGGTATCGAAAGTATCGTTCGAACCCTACAAATATGATGGTTTGACATTCAGTAGATGTATAGCGTCGAAGTATGAATGAAATTATTTTCTTTCGAACGAATTAGTGAACGATCTTAATCGTATACGATTACGCTTAAGATTAAATCTTAAGCATTTACAATCTGGATTAAATGGACCAAAATAGTATTTTTTTTTGTTTCAATAAGAAAAAAAAATGCGTGATATTTGCCGAGACCCCCCTCTCTCCAACGTAAGATTAGTTGAGATTTGCCTCGACCCCCTCCCCCCCTTAAACATCTCACGTAATTTATGGACGCCCCCTTACATAAATAAAAAAATTACACTACCAAAACAGAATTTTGTTTTCAGGTTTTTATAATCTGTCGCAGACAAATCAAAACCCTTCTGCTATGGGGAACGCTACAATCCAATGTTTGCCTCCCTTGAATACAAGAACATTAATAATCACATATGATATTCTGACCATTTTCTCTTTTACTTGTATAAAGAACGTACTTTCATCGTACGTACATCCCGATACTCATTCCTTCTGCTTCCTTTAAAAACTAAAATTTAGCTAGCGCAATCTTTACTTGTGCCAATCTTGAACTACACATGATGTCTGTCTCGTTGATCTAAGTGAAGACATGCTCAACTAGCTTCAGCGCCTACAAAATCTTTGCATTAGATTTATCTACAGTTTGCGTAAATTTGACCACATAACTGAATTTAGACGTAAGCTTGAGTGGCTCCCCATAAAACAGCATCGTGAAGAGCATGTTCTCACTTTCCTGTTTGCTAGATGACCCTTGTAATCCTTCTTGCCTTAGGGAACGTTTCCATTTTCCGGGCGCAAATCATAATCGCGAGCTGCCGCCTGGGACGGACAATATGCTGGAGATTCCTTAAACTAGATCGGAATACTACCATGAGTCCTTTACCATTAAGGCAGCTTGACTGTGGAATAAACTGCCGCCTGCTATTCGACATGCTAAATCTTTTGCCGTATTCAAATTTAAATTGCAGAAGCATCTTTTAGACAGCATACCTTAACTTCCAACATGTGTGTATTTATAAAATATTATATTTTTATAATTTTACCTTCTTAATCATACTACTTTATTTATATTTTCTTCTTTTCTATGGGCACAACAACCTCCGGTCTTTCTCTCCAATTATTAAACAAATCGAATGTTGTCTGGAAGAGATAGCTTTTAGCGATAAGACCTCCTTTGCCCACCCTGTTAACTTAATATTATAAGTGAGCAATAAACTGTCTATCTATCTATCTCACATGCCGCGATTGGATGTGACACCTTATGAGAACACAGTTGCAAACTTTAGTTAAAATCAAATCTTCATTTGTTTCTTTCCATACAAACTGAGAGATAATGAAAGAACTGAACAAGACTAGTCAATGCGAACACAGACTATAAAGAGATACATGAGAGAGAGAGAGTTTTGTGCAAAGAAAAAATATTGTTTTCTAATAATGCCCCTTTTATTAGTATATTGAACACTAATCCCAGTCAAAATTCAAATAGCAATATCACATATTTAGCCATAGATTTTGATGATGCCCCTATGCGGTATTTACTTACGCTACCCTATGCTGTATTTACTAATTTACTTCTACTTCTTACTTATAATGATTGAAACAAGGCACACCATAAATTTTTATCGTATTTTCGATCATTTCGGAATTGGTAAATCAGCCCTGCACAAAAGATTCGCCTTGCGCCATGGTAGTTGGAACTATTCTTGCATTCACTTGCCATTAGTCTTGGGCGTAATTAATTGGCTTGAACGGAATCGCGATAGATCGACATTGCATTTGTGACCGAAACTAACGCCAATTGTTGCAATATTGGGTGGTTATTGTATGCACTAATTGACATTAAGTTTATATTTCAAGAGTATGAGCAAAGATTTGATGAAAATTTAAATTGTTATTGAATTGGATTGAAATTGACATTGAGATTGCATTCAAGAGTAAGCCTGCAAAGATAGATCAGTTTAGTTGTCAGTTCCTGAATGAACTATTTAGCGCTGTTAGTTCATTAGATCGTTCAAAGCAGTAGCAGTTTTAAAGCAGGCGAACAATCTGCCTTATATTGAATTTTTTTAAGGCAGCTTGTACGTTCGTTTTGATACAGCTCCTGTTGTGACAAGAATATGATACACTTATATTTACTTAAAATTATTGAACATTTAAAAAGTATGAATCTATAAATCAATCTTCATAGATTTAATGTAACCTTTTCGTGTTCTGTCACAAATTAACTAACCATTTTGCCAATCTAAACATACCTGTTCATCGACAAGGCCACGGTCCCTTAAAGCTTTTTCAATGTTTTCAAATTCTTTTTTAACATCTTGATTTTTAGACTTTTCAACAGCCTGTCGTACTCTCGATATCTATAAGTGAAGACGGTCTAATTAATGTAAGCCATTTCTTACAACATAAATTTTATATAAGCAGTATCATAAATACCGTTTCCTCAAAGAATGTGTGTTTGTGAGTCTGCTCTGGAACATCAATTTCCATAACCGATCGCAAGACTGGAAATGCATCATCCACTCTGTCCATGTCTGCTAATCCCATGACCTAAATAATAAAAATAAAATAAATTTTAGAAAATTAATTAAAAACGCTCAATACAATACAAATTACATGAAATTCTCCAAAATTTTACCTTTATATTCCTGATAGTGACATAGTGTTGTTTCAATGATGATATTGATTCTATAGCGATTTGTGGTTTTCCTTGCTTGAGAGCGAGTGCTGGAGAAAATTAATGCAGAATTAAAAATAAAAAATAATTGTCACTTTATAGTGTTTACAGATAGTGAAGATAACTCCATTACAGGTTCACGCGCCGTTTACATGATGAGGTCATATCTGAGGTCTCAGGTTAATAGGGATGATGACTGGGTAAAAAAAATGCAATTCTATTTAGTCCGTCAGTCAGATAATAGATAAAATATTAGATACGTATTTTTTTTTACTTCAATTGAACAAGAAATAGTATAGATAACAGGCATTAAAGTTGAGGAGTGGGGGCTCGCTACGTCACAGTTGAGTAGAAAACGTACTCTAACGTGACGTCATGCGAAATTTCAGCTCAATGTAACGCCGTAATTTTATGATTACGAAAAAAATGAAAAAATACGTGTTTAATATTTTTTAACACTACCTGACGGACAAACAAAAAAATATTAGTCATCATCCCTATTCTTGCAAACCTACCACATAACAGTGTGTGAGGCATTGGATTCAATCATATAAAGACAACATTCAATACTATATGGTTAGTGCAATATTCAATACAATTAATGTTAAGTATATTTTGATTTAATCCTATATCAAACAAATTGAAGCCAATGTAGTCATGGGGTAGGCCTGCTGATCAGATCAATGTAGAAATATGTTACTTTTATTTATATTTATGCTTATTGTTCTATCTATATATGTATTCATGTACCTTTGTTGTTTCCTATTAACACAATACAAGCACTTTAACCATGCAGTTTAAGATGTGAGCAACAATTAGGTACATACAAATTAAATTCACTGAGACAACTATACAAACTAATTAAAAATAATTTCAGACCTGCAAAATATGTGCTGGTTCTTCTAAGTGGAACTGTGCCAACACTTGTCATCTCTGACCACAATTTTGATGCATATTCCAAACTTTGAGGTGTATTCTAAAAATAAATAACACAAACCATGTCATTCCTAAAAATACAACAAAATAAAAGGAAATTTATAGTTAAATACTTTTAGTAGTAGTAAAGGGCTTCAGCAATCATTATCATTATCACCTTATCAATTACACATAGTTGTACAAATGTCAATTAAGGTTTAATGATGCTTTTAAACTTTTGTGAATGTCAAATTTGTAACAGTAATGTCATTTTGGCTACTGTTTATGAATATTGTCATATTAATAATAAAATAAGTACAAACCTGTTTGTAACAAGAGGCAAAAACTAAAACGAGAGGATATTTAGGAAATTTTGTCATATTTATTTGCCTCTCTTTTATTCTTTCGAACACCCTGTATATTTCTTCATACATTTCATGGTTATATAAGAGATCCATTAAAATTTGGTATGAAACAAGTTGATCAAAAAATCCACTATTATTTGGATCTTCAAAACACTGAAATGAGGAAGACAATAAGTTGTAATGAACCATATCAAGTCAATGCCATTAAAACTGGCTACAAAAAAAATTGTTAACTTTATTTTGAGTCAAAGAATATTGAATTGCATTATTGCCAAACAACATTTTAAGTTATTCTATTTCTTAGTATTTGTTGTAATAGTGGCAAACAGAAAAACACTATCTGTGAAGATTTCAACTGTCTAACTTTTCTGGTTTATGAGATGACAGCCTAATGACAGACAGCAGTCTTAGTAATAGGGTTCCCGTTTTGCCCTTTGGGTATAGAACTCTAAAAAGATTTATACATATATTTAGGATAAATATGTTTAAGACAGTTAATGTTAAAAGCATATATGCAAATTAACATTTAATGACATATATGCTAGCAAAACATACTTTACGTTTACCAATTGTATGTTACGTTTTTCTTGGTGTTAAAATTGTGTATGTGTTGTAATTCTCAGTAAGTGAATTTTTGTAATTCTTTTGAGAATAAAGATTTCTATAACCGTAAACATACTTTTAAGGCTTCATTTGGTGCATCCAGAAAGTGGTACATCCTCATCACTACAGGGCCAAACACAAATGACCCAAATCGAAATTCAGAATTATCCGAGTTAAACCTGTGAAACATTAACATACAAATAATTCATGTTATTTTGAATAAGTCTTACTATAAATAGTTAATTGATATCAAATATTGTACATACCTACTATATTTATTAAAAACAAAACTCAAACTCACTTTTTGATCATATTCGTAACAAGCTTCAAATCAGTAGGCTCTGCCAAATGTATCATATTTTTAAGATCTTCTGTAAATATCATATTTTTTGGATCTGTGACAAATTCTGTCATTTTAGTTCTAAACTTATCAGTAAAATTTGCAAATTGCTCTTTTATCTTCTTTCTTGTGTGTAGGTAGCCATCAATTCCTAGGGATGCTTGAGAATAGAGTTGTTGAACTAAAACAATACCACCATTCATGACCAATTTTAATATTTGACTATATTTATTTAAATTGTATTCATTATTTTATCCATTTAATCAAGTATAAAAGGTTATAAATTCCAAACCTTGTGTAACATATATCGACCGAGATGGCACGACAGTGCGCAAACTGTAACTACAAGACTTTTTTAACATCGAATTCACAAAAATTGACATGATCGGCGATCTCCTATTTGTAATAAATTATAATTTTTAAACTTTGATGCCGAATATATTTGGTTTTTTTTAGGTTATTTATTCAGACATAAATTGCTTGACAGTTGATTGACATAATAATTTATTACGATATCTATGACACTTCTTAAAAGAAGCATTCAGGTAGAATCACGAATGTCAATTTAAACTGGATTGTGCAGTGTTTCATTAAAAACGGGCAGAGTGAGAGAGTAAATTAGTAACTCTTCGTCTCTGTCTTAGTAGTTTTGTAGGATGCCCACGCGTTTTTATTAACCCCAATACTGGGCCGCCAATGTTTCAAATATATTTAAAGTGGATACTATGCATATGCGAACACGTTAAATAAAGATTTTAAGAATTTTATTTATAGTTTGCAAGAACATCAAAATAGAAGTAAGAAAACAATAGGCATGGACAGCTAATCACAAAAATAAACATTGTGTCAAATAAATCAGAAGAGTAAAATTGTTCTAAAAAAGTATTTTATACATGAGTAAAAACTCCTTGCTCTAACAGTTTTTAATAATTTCATAAATAGGTAATATTTAATTATTACCTATTTATGACCAAATTTAAACATTTACAGATATAATTTTATAAATTTTTACAGATATTATGAATGATGATGTTAGAAATTTAACCGATAAATTAGTTTTTATTTATCGGTAAAGATATTTATTTTGTAGGAAATAAAACAAGTACATAAATGTTATTATAATCATCTATAATGTATAAATCAATTAAAAGGATAGAAATGTTTTTTTTTCCTATTAATTGTATTAGAATACAACGGATCACTTTGCCTGGTATTATTGTCCTCCATTTTTCAGTTAGACTTTTATCCTTTAGGATCCTAGAAACATAAGAGCAATTTTGTCATGGTCAGCATAAGAAAATTATTACTTTATAAATATTTATCCAAACTAATGTGTAGGCCATTCCGATATTTTCCAAAACATAATTAAGCTAGTTCTCGTTTTTCATTTTCCAAATAACTTTGTACCTACCGTGAAAATATTGATAACGAAGAATGGCGGGTAGCGTAAGTAAAACTTATAAATATTTATATACGTTTATAACGTATGAATATTAATTTAAATCAAAGCCTCTTTGATATGGTTTTGTTTCTTGATCGTCGACACCCTATATCACTGTTTAATAAATAAGGAAAACAGCTTACCTGTGGAATGTGAAGTCACATTCGTGATACCATTCATTTTTGCAATCAGCCAAGCAAAACAATATACCATTTTGATGTAAATAATCGAAATAGTAAGTCAAAACACAAATAAACATTAAACTTTAACATCGTTTATGTTGTCACATCGAGCGGCCATATTAATTTATAATATTGCTACTTAGATGTAACGAAAAACTACTAACACGACATCGGTTTACATTATAATTTTAATGAATTCACACTTTTACTTAAAAAACATATCAACTATGTCTATTCAATATATTTACTAATAGATAATAAATAAAATTACCTAGTGATGTCTTTAAAAAATCAATAAAATCTCCTAATTGCCAATAACAATTATTTAATTTTCCAATGGCAACTCGTTAGACAAGGACCTACTACTACAAATCTAATATCTCTAGTAGACCGTTTTTCTACTCTGAAATGTAACATAGAAAAATAAACCTTATTTTATATTAGATAAAGTGTAAGTTTGATTTTAAGAAATATATCAGTACGCAATCCAGTTTAAGTTGACATTCGTGGGTAGAATAGTTTAGATGGTCTCCAAAGAGTACTTTGTATATGATGGTCTCTTTGATTTTATCTTGTATATTTGAATTTCAAATCTAGAATATTTTATTTTATCTTTTTGACGTTCGACTTTACATAGGAATATTTTACTTATGTAAATACTTATTTTTAGTACTGCACAAAGTTATTATAGGTATACTAAAGACTTGTTATCTTATTATAAATACAAAGAAATACAATTAAACTGATGACAAGGCAGCATGGTCTATGATCTTAGCCTGTTCCGAAAGGAACAAACTAAAAAAATAAAAAAAGAAGCATTTAGAGACAGAGACGAAATTAACTGCTTAAAAATTTTAAGCGTTGTTTGTTATGTTGTACGATTTTTAATAAGCGTTATTAAAACTGCTTATTGTTTAAACGCTTTTTATTCAACCGACGTTTGGAAAAACGTCCCCCCTAATTAACTTGCTACTTTTCTGTCTTATTGGTTGATGCAATGTTTATAAGTGAAACAACTTTTAAACGGTTTCATCGCGTTTGTATTTAATTTTAGACGAACAACTAGACACGAACAACGAACAATTAGACAATATAAAATAATTTAATAAAACTCTGAATGTTATAAAGTCACATCATTAAGCAGTATTCCTATTTTATTTTTAAAGAAATTTTACAAAATAACCAAATTAGTATATAATCAAAAATGAAAAAAATGAATAATTTTTTACCTCAGTACCACTATAGAGTTTTCTTTTGAAATGTCGCACTGCAATGAGTAAGGATGGGAAGTCAATAAATCAAGATCAGGTGTAATATTATTGAAATATATTAGCTAATTATTTTTTCCTGAATTCAGGGTTGCTCCCCTAGTAAAAGTTGTTCAGTATACTTAACTAATTCACTTCAGAAAGATCTGGCATGTAATAATATTACACCTTATCTTGATTTATGAATAGTAAAGTATGTAACAGTAAAACTTCTATAGTATAAGTATACCTTTAATAAACGCATTGTATGTAAAAACATTAAAGAAATACATTTAAACACAAAATTGCAACGCAATATTCGTTCGAAATATCTTTTTGTTCTCTAAGGTCTGGTCTAGATAGCCAATAAACAAAATGTGTTTTATTTACTATTTTGGGGATTGGATGCAATGAGTAATATCTATTATCAATACATGCCAGGCACATTATTTTGACATATTATCAGTTTTGACTAGTTTAAGGGTTCAGGATTTAGACTTCTAAACTGAATTTCAGGAGCAGTATCTTCCCAGTAATGAAATAAGTAAAGAAACTTAAAACAAAAACTAAATACTTAACTGTAAAGTTTATAAATTATTGTATTCCTGAGTCATTATTCGTTTATGATAAACATGTTGGATTTGATATCGGTATCAGTACATTCTTTGAAAGTTGTGCTAGACAAACCGCCATTTATTGTTCTGATGAAAGACTAGGTATGGCACGCTAAAATTGTAGGTATGTCGTTTCCAAGTACTTTTAAGTCAATGATCACATGTGATGATGAAAAGATGCCAACTGATTTTAAAATTTTGAACAACTGATATACATTTACTATATTTTGTTTCGATATTTTGGTATTTTTGATATCGATATCTCTGTTTCATTGAAATCGATATAATTCGATGTTTTTGCGTGTCGATATATATCGTACATTTCTAGACAAGAGTCCAGCACAGGACGCTGTACGTGTGCCTCCCCATTTTACTTTACCCACAGAGCACTTTACCTAGGATTACGTATCTGTTATCTATTAATTTATTGGCTCCACAATTGCTAATCTGTCTGTGACAGAAAAAAAATATAGGAATGGAGTTGATATCTTTCTAAAATTTTGTAAAAGTTTCAGTAATTCCTAGCAGTGGTATGAAAAATCACTCAAGAAATAGAATTTAAGAAACATGATTAGTTAATTGATTTGTGATCTTATTAGTGGCAATGGCAAAACTTTGCTAAATAAAATTGTTTACTCTAAAAACAATGTTGTTTGGCAATTTATGAACAACGCAAATAGTATTCAATGCTATACATAATTAATCTTACTGAGATAAAGTAAATTCAGTTTTTTTTTTTATTCTTACCATAAATTTCATTTAATTTGGTTATTCTATCCGAGTTATATGAAATTTATTTCTTACATGACAAAGTAGGTAGGTATTCAATACCCAACACTTATTTTATATGTTAAATCCGTAAAGCTTATATAAGTTTAATATTTTCTTAATGTTTTATTCAGTTTATATAGTGCATTCTGTCATAAGATCATGTATTATAATTAAATTGTTGCTATTATTTAGATATTAGAAATTGCTATGATATTTCTTGTATTCTATTGGATTATTGTTAAAAAAATCTCAGTTGTTTGTAAATGTATTGTATTTAGTTGTTTGTAAATGTAACCATGTTCAGCCATTTAGATGTTTATCAAATTTTGACTATACTTGAGGAATATGTCATTACCTTGTGTGTTAAATTTGCCCTGCTAATTTTTAACCACAACTTTTTTCTAGCTAGAAACAGTAATATAGAAGTGTACTGACTGCCCACACACCATGGATGGTTCAATAAAGTGATGATAATCTTCATGAATATTAAGAGAATGGATATAATATTTAAATGTATATGACATGAAGAGGGCATTCCACCAATTTTTCACATTGAAAGCTAATTATCTTATTGGGAGTCAATAATGATAATGTTCGCTGGGTGGAAATGTAATCTATAATATAGTACACTGTTTAATAGATGTTTAGTGCCAAGTTCATGGAAGTTGTTTAAATCCAATATTGAGTATATTTTATTATACAACTATCATGAATATGACAGAACAATGCTTGAACTGCTTTACTTTACTTTTGTGAGAAAACTATCTCCTATGAAAAATTTACAGATTCTTGACATTCGCTTTCAAAACTTTAATTATTGATAATCATTTTAATTTATACTATATCTTTACAGATTCAATGTGGAAGTGACAGTAACGATTCATAATAATACAAGTGTAGTGCCAGTTCAAAATTTTAGGATGGCTGATTCGAGATATTTTAAATGCAAATCACCCAAGGGACATAGAGCAGGAGAATTTTCAAGACCTAAAATGAAGAAATTAAAACATAATCGTAAAGAAGACAGCAAACGTCAAGTTGAATGCAGGACTCCTCCATTACCCTCCAGTTCAAGTTTAGATGAATTGCTCAAACAGCGAGAAAATTTAAAAGATGAACTGGAAAAAATAACAACACTATCTAAATATGATCTAGAAATTAGACAAAAATTCCATGACAATGTAAAAACATCACAACATGCCACTGAGAGGAGTTATACTGATGAAATAAATTATTCCAATATAAAAAGACAAAAAAAAGAAACTGAAGAAAATCAAGAATTTATCGAAAGTCATTTGGATTCTGATGATGAAGAAAACATTATTGAGCTAAGAAGAAAACAACGTAAGGAGCTTTTGGAGAAACTGAATTCTTCAAGCTTTAACAAACCATGTGATTATGTTCAAGACAATGATAACAGTCTCAAAAATTTACCCGATAACAAGCAAAATAATGAACAAATTCAGATGACTTCAGATATGCCTGTATCCATAAAGGAATCCACTGATATGTTTTCTGAAAAGGAATTTTCTAACAGCAAGCTACACACTGTGAAACAAGACAACAGCAATGCTGAACTTTCAGATAACTGGGATGATGCAGAAGGATATTATAATGTAAAAGTCGGTGACATGATCGACTGCAATAAATATACTGTAAAAAGTATTCTGGGTCAAGGAGTCTTTGCAAATGTTATCTTAGCTCAAGATAATAAAAATAAAACAGAAGTGGCAGTTAAAGTAATGAGGACTAATGAAGTAATTTACAAAACTGGCTTGAAGGAACTGGCATTATTAAAAGAAATCAATGATGCAGATCCTGAAAATAAACATCACTGTGTCAAATTCTTAAGAAGTTTTATGCATAAAAGCCATCTTTGTGTTGTACTTGAACCACTTTACATGGACATGCGAAAAGTTATTAAAAAATATGGCAAACATACCGGTCTGAATATGAAAGCAGTTGTTAGCTACAGTAGGCAACTACTTATTGCTTTAAGACTTCTAAAAAAACTTGGTATTATCCATGCAGATGTCAAACCCGATAACATTCTTGTGAATGAAAAGAAGAATATATTGAAACTATGTGATTTTGGTTCAGCATCCAAGGTTGATGAAAACGAAATAACTCCTTATTTAGTTTCGAGATTTTACAGAGCACCAGAAATTATTCTAGGTGTAGCATACAAACATAGTATAGATATCTGGTCAGCCGCTTGCACAATTTATGAAATGACAACTGGAAAAATAATGTTTACTGGAAGTTCTAATAACAAAATGCTCAAGTGTTTCATGGACTTAAAAGGTAAAATTCCAAGCAAAATGATACGAAAAGGCAAATTTAAAGATCAGCATTTTAATTACAACAATAGCTTTCTTCTTCACAAAAAAGATGAACTATCTGGCAGGGAAAAATTTGTTGAACTCAGTAATATAAATGCCACAAGGGATCTCTTAACTGAACTAAAAAAGTCTCATAAAAACACCACTCAAGATGTAGAAAAAAAATTGACGCAATTGAAAGATTTATTAGAGAAGATGTTAATATTTGATAGCAACCAAAGATTGTCAGTCAATGATTGCCTCAGACATCCTTTCATTCAAGAGAGCTTGAATAAGTAATTTTAAATCAATTTTAAGAAAAATAAAAACCAGAATAATTTATTTATTTACCAGTTTTATTTTTCTACAACTTTTAACCATTAGCCTTAAAAAAGGTTATTTAAAATACTTATTTAACACAAAAGTATTTCAAGCTACTACAAACGGACAAATTTTTGCAATTGACTTTGATCCTTAACTTTTACTTAACCATATAGGCTTAAAATCGATTGGTGATTCTTAGATTTTGTTATATATATTTGTTATTTTTTAGTAACACAACGACTTCGGTTAACCCCAAATAATTTATTTCTTCAGCCTGCTGTATACTTAATGCTTGGATTAATATTATATTATGCATTAAAACTCGAAATCAGCAAAGAATATATACTACTTACCTCCTTCTTGAAATGAACTTTACCGTTAGTCGTGTATGAATTTTATAAATTTAAATTGAGTGGAATGCTACAACCAAGAAAATTATAAAAAACTAAAAACCCGTTTTCTTGTCTTTTTAGTTTTTAGTGAAAATAATGTATATTTTTTCACTTCTTTCTTTTGTTTTCACGCTGTCGGGATTTTGTTTTTTAGTTAGATTTCGGAACCTTACCATTTCATTGAGGGAGTTTATAACGTGAGGATCTAAACTACTTATTATAAGTCTCTTTACAGACCTAACTCAGCTCAAATTCGCGAACTTAGTCGACTACAGCTCGGTCCAAAGTAGTTCTTGCCACTTAGAGCTTAATAATTTCCGAGCGGCTTACTTCGGGTCTCAAAACGGTTTGCGCACATTTCTAATATTTTTGAAAGACCTATCCAACAATATCCCACACAATAGGGAAAACGAAAAAATAAAAAATCGTCCCCACTTTACATATAGGGGAAGTAGGTACCCTAAAATAGAATTTTGGTTATTGCTATGTTTAGTGACACTCGCAAGGTTAAGACAAATCGATTGACGTATAAATCGTCAAAATCGGTCAAGCCATTTGGTCTCTACAATGCCATAACATATAGAAAGGGAGTGTTTTTCGGATACCAAAATTTCGAAATAAGATATTTTAATTGTATGTACAGCAAAATGCATAAATTTGATTCAGTTTATCAATCAATTATGATACGCAAAAAGGCTTTAATGTCAAAATTAAGTTCTAGCTACGCTGATGTGCTGCTGATTGTACCTATAACCTATGCGTACTAAACTCAATCGGTCCAGCAGCTTAGAACAATCTGTAACAGATGATTGACATACAGACACGCGAGGGTATATAGGGACCGCATGCCTGCGATATCTGCGGGCTCATTTCATAGCCAAAAAACCAAAAAAAGTCACAGTAATCACCCGCGTACAGCGTCAATATAAATAAGCTATTAGGCAGCTGTCCACGGTAGGAATCTTACGTGGGATAAACCTAGAACCGCCAAATATTAATAAATATACATACGTAAAATGTCTGCTTTATATATTTTACGTAATTAAGGAGCTCGATGGCGCAGTGGTTAGCATGTACGACATGCGATGCTATTTATCAACTTTCGTAAGGGCCGACCATAGGACAAGTGACCAAAAATGTATTTTCTCAACTCGTCCGTGCTTCGGAAGACACGTTTTACTGGTCTTATCGGCATCTTCGTCGTTTGACCTTTTCTCAATATTTTTCACCCATATGGAAAGCATGTTTTCTAAATGGAATGACGTCCGACCTCACACGTGCTACATTCTCGCTTAAATAAAACGCTTTGTCACTGTTGCTGAAATACTACAGCACCGATTTTTCTAAATAAACATCCGAACCCTTAACTAATTTATTTGCTGACCCTATCTTGCCTATGGAAGTGAACTCTAGAAAGGCTACGCTGGAGTCTTGCCACGTACTTCATAAAAGGTGAGGAAGAGTGGTTTGTTGAGGGTTACCTAGTTGTTCTAAATAAAACAAGTCATTTTAATAGAATTACTATATTAGTTGTCTAAGAGACAAAACAACAAAATATACGCCACCAACCAAAATATCACTTAAATTTTCACATGAGTAGAAAGAACATGTGAAATATCACAATTACAAAGGAAAAAATTGACGATGTCACTATGACAATGAGGTGGGTGATAATTACATATACTTTATTCGATTGAAAAATTGACGCTGATTTAAAACAATTTAGATATTTTAAAAAAAATCTCGGCTAATTAACATTAAAAACTCACCTAGCCTTAACTTACATTATCTTAATAACCTTGAAATCTGTATTAATTTTATTGCCTTTTACAAACTTATTCAGCTAAAGTAGTATTGGCAAGTGTAAGTAGATTCTCAATTAAACTGGCTATAATACATTTCCTACACAGTCTAGCATCTTAATGCAAAATCCCACCTTTCCTATTTTCCCTTTAAATATCTTTCACAAACAAAGAAAAAAAAGTATAAAAACAACAACGTAATATTACAAAATGTAAATAATATCATCACAGTACAATAATAATGGTTGAAACTGATTAGTGTGCATTTACACTTGATCAATAGCACTATTTTAAAACCTTTTACACTTATTTCTATTCATAGCATTCTTTAGCACAGCTTTTCCTAAACTTTTCTTGTCGACCGACCCCTAGGAAATCGATCAAAGTTTCAAGCGTATTGCTAATGAATAATGAATGTCTTTGACCACTTATTTGTATGATAAAAATCGGTCCTACATTTACTAAACTGTAGGCTATTTCATATGAAAATAATTCTGTTATATTCGAGTTTTACATATATTCGAGTTTTACAGCTCTGGGTGCTAGTCTTTTTGAGCCTTTTGAGTTTTTGTTATTATCGAATTTTAATTCCATTAGCCGTACCAAGAACTCAGCGGACATAACTTACGGTCCCCCAGGGGTCCGCGGACCACAGATAGGGAAACGCTACTACTAGCACATACTACAACATGAGAAAAAATATTTTAAAATACTTGTTAATTAAAATGAATACTGCGAATAACAAACTAACTAGGTATTAAACTTTCATTTAAGATCTGAAAATGATAATTAACATGAAATTTTTTATTTTGTAGTAAGATATGTGATTATTTTTAAAACATCGGCAGTGGAGTTGTCTAAATCGCATTTTATTTAATTATTTCTATTCTATACGTCCTCCGATAAGATTTGAGTTTGATTTTATCTAATATACATACAACTTTCTTCAGGATTTAAGATTAAGTGATTATAAAAATATGAAATAGGCATCATACTGAGAATGAATTAAAACGGAAATCTATTTAGCATCTAATGAAATATCACATATCAAAATAATCACTTGAAATAAATATGGCATCATCCAATTATTACGTCGAACGATTTTGTCAGTTATTGATCCCCTTCCCCTAGGTAAAAAGTAAAAATCGGAATCTAAACGAAAAACAAATATTTTTTTGCTTAACATTCTCATAAGAACAAATAGTCTTAACTTTACAGGTTTTTTGTTTTTAGATAATAATAGAATTATCAAGACCACCTACCTTCTTATTAAAAAAAAATAAGACTCCCCCATAACTCATTTTACGTAATAAACGGACGACGTCTTTGAATATTGACAAGACCATCATATAACATCTAATTAAAAGTTCATGAGAAAATACGAACGATCATAGTGTAGTTTCTATGGAGCTATAGAATGGTACAGTCGACAGCATATCATGTTACTACAAAATTAATATTTCTCTAATACAATTTAAACGTCAATCTGCTGATAGGTAAGTTCAAATTTGATTTCTTATAAAAATATGGTCTTTTAATAGTGACACGATGACCTGTGCATACTTTCCAACGCAGCTTCTTAAATAAACTTTTATAATATACACAACTGATTATAACACAATATTAAAAATAAAATAATAAGGTACTAATCGTGACTTTTGTCACAGCCATATATATAATATGCAATCATATATTTCTATAAAAAAATAATTGCATGCAAATTCATTTTTATAGTTACTTTTCGAAAAAGAACTCCCATAAGTTTTTTATACGGTACTGTCGCTTAATGAGGCCACTGTTTTTAACCTTTGCTAAAAGGCCAACTACGTCTCAAATACAGAGCGCTCGGACTGATTATAAAGGACGTAAAATATTATCGAACCTCTTTCATTTTGGTTTTTAGCACTACGGTCAAAACCAGTGGACTCATAAGGCGATTTTACCTTATACTTACGTCACTAGTCGAGAGAAAAAAAATGTATTTAAAATACCTTAAAAAAATGTAAAATATAAATAAACGCACGCGTACATTATGTGTAACGAAAAAAATGCACTCACAATTTCTAAGAGAGAACTCTATATACAATTTAAGTAGCTTTTAGTGCTAATATAAATCTAACTTCAGACATGGATGGATCCATTGCGTAGACTTAAAGCAGAAATGGGATGTATAACAGTTTCAAGAAATTCGATTTGATCACTGGCTCTGTGTATCACAAAATTAAATCGTATTGCATTACGTTACGAGCTAAATCAAATTTCAGTTCAACTGAGAGATTCATAATGAGAAAATAAATCTGGTATCTCGTAATACTAAGGGAGGCCGCAGAATACACCGACTCGATTCGAAACGTGAGCTACTACAGATTCACGCTTACATAGTTCATCGAATAAAATTTACTGAAAATTCCACTTTAATCGTTTAATAAAAAACTCACTTTTAATAGTCTAAAATCCGACCGTTTATATCAGCAAATATCCTTTTTTGATAAAAACATACGTTTTATGAATAATATACAATCATAGAATATATTATAGCAGCATTATCTGGCAAAAGTTCGCCACAAATACCTGTTAAATTTATTTAAATATATTGTAATATTTTTTGCTTAAAAACCTCTAATTTTTTTAAACCAATACTTGTTTGCCTGTAAAATAAACGCCGCGATTAATTAAATTGATTTTAATCTATATCTATAATATAGTATAATCTCTCTACAATGCACGACAATTAAGTTTACCAATATGGCGATTGAGTTGTAGGATATTTCAAAATGGCGGTGTCAAAATCAACATTTTGTTTCAACCTGCCTGCCGCACAATCTCGTACATTCAATATTTCATTATACATTTATTCACATTCATATAAACATAATAACCTAAAAAAATAGATACCAAAGTATCAAGTGGCCATCTATAATGTTTCTCAACAAATCGAGTCGTTGTAATACTTGAAAACCTCAACTCTTACAATGTAACACTAACAGTAACGTATCTTTGGATGCGGTTAATTATACCATGCATTGTTATGTGGACGGCGCGTTGAGAAATACGGGAATACCGTCCGAATGATTAGATGCTATAGAATCTGGACTCTGGAGGGAAGCGCTGTACACCGGATTCATGGGTGTAGTGCCGCCAGCTTCGAACAAGGTGCTGTCATACACGCTGTTGCTCTAAATAATATTATATAATAATAATATTTATTAAAATCTGTAAACACTACATCGAATACTTAAAGCTAAACTTATTTTTTACAGGTAATAAAAATAACATCATGTGCCTGAAGTAGGTGACCATGTATGTCAGACCACACGGACACATTGATTAATCTAAATATAAACTACCACAATGCATAAAAAAAAACAAAGATGTTTACCCACTGGTCACTATTATTTTACTAGCTAAAAAAGGTAACTTTTCTACTAATAAACTAGAATTTATAATATTAAACAACTGTTATTCTAAACAAATTGTACTATCTATATTTATTTTATGTATCTATATAAGTCAGACTTTGTAATTTTCTAGAAGAATATTTTTACATGTATTAGGTCACCTCACATATGAAATTGGCGTTTTGTATAGGAGGAACAAAAAGTCGACTATTTTTTAATATAATATATTTATTTAATCAAAGTATGAACCATTGTTATCTATGCAGTTTTGCCATCTCATAGGTAGTTCATTGATCCCCTTACTAAAAAAAACCATTCGGATGGGAATTAATAAAATCTTTGAAGGCGATTTGCACTGCCCCATCGGAGTTGAATTTTTTCCCTTGCTGGATATTCCCTTGAATGGTAATCTGTTGGAGCAAGGTCCGGGGAGTACGGTGGATGTCTTAGACATTCCAATTAAAGATCTTCTAATTTGGTAGCCGTCTGTTGTGCTGTGTGTGGTCTAGCGTTGTCGTGAAGTAGCAGTGGCGTAGAGCGATTGACCAGCCTCGGTTGTTTAACAGCTAGTTTTTCCAGCATGGTTTGTAATTGCTGACAATAGACGTCTGCCGTAATCGTCTGGCCAGATTTGAAAAAACTGTAATGAACGACACCGGCACTAGTCCACCAGACGCTTACAAGTAACTTTTTTGGGGTCAATTTTTGCTTGGGGGTAGAATTTGGCTAGCATGCCAGGGTCCAACCATTGCCATGAGTGCTTCCGATGACCGTAGAGAATCCACTTTTCATCACAGGTAATAATTCAATTTAAAAAACCTTCATTATTGTGCCGGTTAAGTAATGTAACGCAGCAGTCGAAGCGCGTTTTCCGGTTTGCTTCACTCAATTCGTAAGGTACCTATAGGTATACCTTTGAAGCTTTTTAACCTTTCCAATTTGTTTCAAGTGGATTAAAATAGTTTTATCACTAACCCTACAGCCTTCAATTCTTCATTATTAACTTGGGTCTCCAGCCGTCCACGGGGCTTGTTCTGCAGGTCGAAATTTCCAGAACGAAGACGTTGAAACCCAAAAACGCACTGTGTTTTCTTTTGCGACACAACCGCCATACACATCATTAACCCTTCGAGCCGTTTCCGCAGCACTGGTACCACGGTGGAACTCGTAAATAACACGATATTTCAAATTTTCTATTTTTTATACTGGTTGACGTAAATAGGACAATCAGAAGAAAAAAACCAAATGAATGCCGCCTAACGAAACACAAATACATGTGTAAATGGGTGCATAAATTTGAATTTGGAATTCCCAACCAAGGAGGAGAAATTTGTGATTAAAGTGTACGACAAAACGCCAATTTCGTATATAAAGACCTAATAAGGAGTTTAAGTTGTAGATAACTAACCAGTTTCAGGGTAAGTCTATTGTATAGTTAGACGTCGAAGGAAATTAAAGAATCTAGAGAAGGCATTTTCCTTTATTTTTACTTTTTCGAAGGAAAATAAATCTGATATGTGGTTTAATACGATCATATGAAAGTTTTAAAATCTTTTTCCCAAAACAGTCAAGTAGCCAAATATAAGGCGATCTCTGATGATGTTCTAAGATGCTTCGTTTCGATACGTTGTACTACAATAGTCATGAGTGATATTTCAAGAAGATTTACAGTGTGTCTCATATTTAAAACAAACTCAAATGGAAAGTGACAAAAGCTTTTTAGTTTTATCTACTGATACGGATCAATGCGCACACAACAAGATTGTTCTCTGAAGAAGGGTCATTAAAAGCTGGAAAATTTAAATAATTACTATTACTATACCCACAATTGACTAAAGGAAAAAAGTCCCTTTTTACCTAATATGTAGTTACAACGTATAGCAATTAAAATTTACATTATAATAAACGAATGAAACTCACCAGTACTAACAGAATTAACTACATCTACAAAACCATGTCATTATCAAATCAATATGAATTAATTATGTTATGTGGAACAAATATTTGATGTTACAATATTAACGTAATATGCGAAACTGTTGGTTAATTAATATTGAAAATAATGGACAGATTTTAAAAATCATTTCACCTACATGGAATGGAAGCTACATCATACGCGGGTAACATAGCCGGTAGAATAGTTAGTTTTTTTTTTTACATATAGCAGTAATTTTAACGGCTATTGTACCTGGTAAATATAATCAGAGTCAGTCTTCAAAGAACTGAAGCTTTGCTGGTGTGGTAGAGAGACCTGGTCATCGTCCATGGGCTCGTCCATTTGAGCCTTGTACGAGAACATGATGCTCGGTTGAGACACGCTGCAAACAATCAAATGCCATTTATTTAATTCAGTTGAATCATTGGATGTTGAGTAGAATCAGTTTTGCTAATTTCTATAAAATGCACATGAATGGTTTGTGGGACCCTTTATTCCCTAAGACTTTCCCCTATTCCCCTAACCCTTTGTGCCCTAAGGCTGTCAAAACGCAGGTGGCATAACGACTAACCTCCCACCGACGTACATATGGGGGAAGGGTCTGGAATCCAGAAAAGACGGTTGCACATCCAGCGGCCAGGGCGCCTTACCTTCTACGGGCGGAAAAAGACTGTGGTACCTGACAACTTTACTATACTTAGCTTACTAACTTTTCCTCATAAAGCAAACAGGTTCGCTAAAGCAGGTCATGCCTGTAGTGTCAACCCTGAACAAGCGGTCAAAGAAAGGAGGAGGTGCGTTAATAAGCGATCTTCACTTCCATCGGCATTAGTGGAGGTACTGTCACGGGTTCGATGCTTAGGTATTGGTAGAAAATGAAACTACTGACTAGGCTTGATATGATGTAAATAAAAAAAAATCCGTTACTGGGTTTTCTTTGTAGCAAGTATTAATGCATTAACGTGTTTTTAAAATAAATTCACTCTTTTAACATACTTGATTTTAAATTGATAACTTAAATATTTTTAATTATAATCTGAGATTAAGAAAGAGCAGCTCCTTTACCATCCATAAGGCAGGCCTGAGCCCCTGCAGTGGGGGCGTAGAAGGGCTGAAGATGATGAAGAAAGAGCATATCGCGTTACTCAAAATTTCAAATTAGGAAAAGTGAATAATAAAAAAGGAAGTGATCTTAAGGTCACAGATAAAAAGTTTGGATGTGGGAACCTAGGATAAAATAAAACGGTATAGTACGACGCACCGTTACACTGTATGAGCTCACCTAGGGATTGGCCTATGGTTATCTCTTCCTAATACGCCTAATAGGGGTACCAACCAATCATAAAAAGATTAGGAACCCCTACAACAAGCGGGTTTTGTTCCGATAGTTCGAGAAAAAGAACACTGAACAAATTAAAAAGAAAATCGGGCTTATGTCTAACATAATTCGGGTTTTATTACCTATTCGGTTAACAGTGAAAGTGAAACTATTCTAGTCATTTTAACGCCGTCGCCGTGTCTGTAATTGTTACTTGACTTTTTATATATATTTTTTATCCTCGCTGATAAGATATTAATAAAAAATACGAAGTGTTTCAGTCTTATTATTTTGAACACATACTTTGCGTTCTTCTGTCTATAATAAATATCAACAAAGTATTTAAATAATAAAAATATGGAGAAAATTTTAAAATCCCGCCTTTTATGTCTGTTATTATTATCAATCGGAGAGAACACAATAAATGTAATCGCAGAGGGACCCGTCCCAACAGGGGTGGGCACAAACGGGGGCGAACGGCGCGGCGGGGAAGCGGGTATATGTAACTCATTTCTCAACATCAATAAAAGTGTCTGCTCAGACTAACTCTTTTACAAATTTTTAAAAATTTTGTTTATATTGGAAATATTAACCTTATCTCAAAACTTTTCTATAAAATATATTTGTTTTCAAAATAACCATCAAAAATATAATTTTACTAGTCTTCCGCCAGCGGCTAGGCCCGCGTTATCTAGTTTTAATACCAGAAATGGGAAAATTCTATTAAAATTTTCATCCCTAATTTACCCCCCTACGGGTTGAAATTCATAAAATCCCGTCTAAGTGAGAATCTACGTCCTAAAAAGAACCCGCATGCAAATATTTGAAACTCCTAGCGCTTCTAGTAACGAAGTTTGATACAAATTATGGCAGACTCCATAAATCATTGCAATCTACTTTTGGATTAAAAAAAGCAGTAACCTCAATAATATTATAAAACAGGTAAAAATTTAAATCATACTTGTAGATGTGAAACAACACAGGTACCATAACAACCAGACCCGAGACAATACAGAAAAGCTAATTTTTTATATTGAGTCGGGACCTTACAAATAGCGACATTTAGACATCGGCATGCGAGCCACTCGACTAAGGAAAATCTCACCTGAAAAATTCACTCAAGAATGTATGATAGACGAGTGGCGTGTACAAAGAGAAGTAGAGCCAAGTAGTGACATCGACAACGCAGAGGCCGGACTGCATAGATCCCCAAGTGAGCAAACCAGCACCCACAGCTTGGCTCGTGTCGAGTAATGCCAGCAACAGCACGTATAGGTAAAACGACAATTTTGCTGTAACAAAAAATACAAGGTATAGTAAAAATATTTTCAAGTTATATGGCTCTATCAATGATGGATTTACCCTAAGTCCACAGTAGGCCCGGACCTAGGGCGGTCAATAATAGCATAAAATATTGTATGCCAAAAGCTGAATGATGAAACAATATTAGTGACGAGTGATACAATATTATATAATGACAGTTTTTTTATTTTTTGCCTATCCATCAGTTAATAATAATAATAATTTATTTCAGGTAGTACCCATATTGTTAGTAACAATTCTCTTAAAAATAATGTTAGTAAATACAAAATTATATTTCTATCACACATTCCAATAAAACCAAATTAAACTAAATTACATAAAATTTTTAATTATATCATTTTATTTATTTATTTTTTTTTTTTATTTCATTTGTGATACTGTAACCACTTCTGTAAGAGAGGCAAATCCCACCGATCAACATAGTTATATAGTTAATACTATTGAAGAATATAAAACATGTAATTTTTTATTTTTTGCGTCATCAATAAATTACGTCGATCCTCTGTCGCAGTTCGCGACGTAAAGTTCACCGATGCATTTTTTACGGTATTTCGCTGCAGGAAACAGGTATACATCATTATGTTGATATACTGTATAGGTAGTCTGATCATTAACAGACTATCTATTATGGGCTTTTTCCATTAAAGTGACATACAATGACCGTCCTATAAAAAACGAGTGATACGGTCTACTATGCCCAATATATTGAATTAAACGAGTACTACACATATTCTGTCACTATTAAACATATTCTGTGTATTAATAATACGAGACGACCCCATCTATATTACTATTATATTTAAATACTTATACCAAACTAATCTAACAGTTTATAATGAGTCAATTGAGATGCCTATAAACTAGTCAAATTACCACCCATTCCAATTATCTATTAATTTTGACATAGCCACTATAGAAGAGTAGCTCACACTCCAATCTCAAAAAATTTTAGCCATAGCAGTTCAAACTTAGTTTTTTTTTATTTTATCAATGAATATGTTTATATTGTTTTATTCTTTCCACATTACTCTTAAATTTTCTCATGATATGGTCTGATAACTTCAAAAAAAACACTGAGTTTTTTTTCTTAATTCTTAATGACCATTGATTGTCCCAATTTTTCCTCTCTAAAAGATGGCCACCCTGAATCTAGTAATGTTTATAATATAATGTTTAAGATTGCATGTAACTAAACTTATGATTAACATTGCAATCATAAACCATGTAGTGGCAAATTATTATGCTTGTACATTTTTAAATACAATATTATATGTACCAATTAATTTAATAACTCCACATTATTTAATACTTATATGTATATATTTATATGCATATATTTAATTATTGCTCAAGACTCAAAGTTCTTTTAATATAATGGTTAAAACTAGTTATCATTTTTCATATCTAGACTGGCAAATATCAATAACCTGCTGCAAGTGAGGCGGTGTCCAAAAATATATTAAGCATAGATAAAACATTAAGTTAAAACAATTGATAGATATTTGATTATTCTGTAGACCACAGTTTTAAAGAGGTCCCCTAAGACTTAAATAAGATGTATTAATAAGAGTAACACAAGCAACTTACATGGTAATGCCAAATAGTCTCGTAATGGTATCCAAGGCAACAGCAGTATGAGGAAATAAATTAGGGCAAACACCAACGATGATATGAACCAAAACAACATTCCACCATGTCCAAATAAATCATAATCTTTAATGTCAATATGGAACATGTCATCTGGGTTCACAATTTCAAGTGTACCCTGAGTGATAGTAAAGACCAATGATACAAGTGATGTAGCCAGAAGTACATATCTGATACTACTACGGCTGTCCAAATGACCTGTGAAAATTTCACAATTTCAATTAAAAACTTACAAAAAAAGCAGATATAAGTCATATTCAATTAAAATAGGACAAAAACTAAGATAATGTTATTCTGGACATTGATTGAAAACAAAAACAAAACCTTAACCCATTTTACATTCACAGATTGTTGCAAAGTAAAAGGGAGGGTCAGCTGAGTATTTTAAGCATTGTGTTATTTTTCTTTTTATATCAATCTTCCTAAAAAGAAAAATGTAGATATTGTATTTATTACTTTTAGAATCAAGTGAAGGATAAAGTTTTTTTATGTTACAGTTAATAATACCTAAAAACCCTGACAGTTGCAATTTAATCACCTTGACCTTCATCATAAGTGAAATTTCTTAGTGAAGAGTTCTTTCTAAACACAAGATACATAGAAAAATATAAGTAATTAAACATATAAATGATCATGATAGATCAATAGGTCAGGCAATTGTGAAGATTAATCAGCTTCTGCAAAAGTTAGAAGTACCAGTTAGATAACAGAAAAAAAACTACTTGCTTTAGAGTTGAGTTACATGTTTAGCTATCAGTCCCAGCTACATCTTACGTTGTTAACACCCACTAATCCACTTGGGGCCTGGTGTGGAGGAGACCATTGTCCTTATGTGATTAATATAGCAACAGTTAGGTTTATATGATGAAACATGGTGCAGTAGTTAGCACCTTTGGTCAGCAGGTCAGGTCAGAGGAAGTTAAGCCACTCATGCATGTACCTATGACTAGCAGTCATAGGATGGATAAATTTAATTACCTCAAGCTCCTCTATGCTTTGGAAAACACATTAAACGGTTGGTCCTAGCTACATCTATAGTCATTAATACCCACCAATAACGGGTCTGAGCCTGAATGATAGGTAATGACCCATTCTCCTAATTTAATTCGATTCTATCCATAGGGAAGGTTTATGCCCCGGCAGTGGGAACATTAATATGATGATGGGATGAAGCATATAAAGCTAAAAACGGACACTCACCAAAAGCAAGTCCAAATATAACAACACTCATTTCTGTTGCCAGGAGAAAGAATCTTACGGTGACCCATAATATTTTGTCCACTAAACCCCCTAAGGGCATAGCTGCATTGACAGTCATAGATACAGCACATCTCACCAAACTTATAATAACATTACCCCAAACCAACATATAAAATGTCAGAAATATAGGACTACTTGTAGCACGCAGTTTTAGTTGGGCTTTGTTGAATCTTATCACCAAGAACAACAGGAATAAAGCATTTGGTATCAAAATTATTAGATCCCAAATTCGTACACTGGAAACACAAACATAAGCACAATAGAGTAAACAGATAAATTATAAAGATGTTATATGTGTTGCAACATTTATTACCTTGAATTATTTATCTCGTAGTACAAAACATATTTACAAAATGTGTCTTCTTTGACAGGTGGAAAGTCTGATCCGTTAATGCCATACATTTTTCTTGATCAACTTATGCTATGTTGCGAAAGCTAGAGCCTCCGAACTGTGGTAACGAAGCATAACTCACAAGCCACTACAAGAGTGCCAGTAAAACAGACGACCGTCAACTTTGGTTTGTCATAATAAAAAGTTCTACTTTAGTAAATTTCTCGATTTCTAATTAAATTTGCTTGTGACGACACCAACAAACGTACACAGCACAGAATTTACATAGACAAGTTCCAATGGTGAAGGAGACGAGACATTTTGCTTTGGGCCAAAGAGTAAAAGTATATATGCTTTTATTTTCATTTTTACTTGGTCATTGTCAATTTGACAGCAGTCTAATCTATGAATTACAGGCTCAAGTATCTATTAACCAAGAAAATGAGAAAGTATTTAAAAAATAAAAATTAGTTCTTGAAATCATACTAGATGTCACTCGTGATGTTTGGACTTTGTCTATGATATTCATTCAAATTTTGTTTCTGACGTAATAAAAGTAAATTGAGTATCGAAAATTAATAAATATGGCATCGTTCCGTGTTTCTTATCATATCTGATTTCAAATTAATTTTAATTTATTTGAATCTTAAGTTTAAGTTATTTATTATGTTACGTGTAAAGGAACGATGTTTGACTTATACGTCACATTAGTGATGAGCCAACTTCATTTTCTAAGAACCAAAGAAGCACATAACCGCCGTACTAATTAACATAACACCATGCTCGACGTTCGCCGTCGACATGCAAGTTCAGTAGCGATAGTATAATATTTGTACGTGTATAAAATTTAAAGTTAAAGGAATTCGTTTCAAATAGACGTTTCTTGTTGATTGCTGAATTTTTATTAAGATAATTTAATTATGACCATAACATTTCATAACTGATCTTAGTTTAAAAAAACCTTAATTTCGAAAGCTTATTATAACTTTTTTTCACAAGTCTATAATTGAATCGGGAGAATAATATATTACTTTTCGTTTAAACTTGTAAATAAACTTGGCAGTAGCTCAAACATAATTTACCTATCTCCTTATTCATATCTAAAAAACTCGCAATTTTGTATCAACTAGATATATAAAAATGATCTACAGGAATAATTAAAACCACTGCGAAGATTTTGTCGGGTCACTGACCGCTCATTTTGTTAGATTCGAAATAGAATTTATGCCATGACCTGAGGTGATTTATAAGAGTATTTTCCTTCATATTTTTATATGCCATCAAAATACAGAAAATAAAAGAGAAACAAATAAGTTCCCTAGAAAAAAATATTAACGTTATGCTGAGGTTATTATCAAGATACAAATCAACTTCGTATTTACAATAATGTTCAATCAAAATCTCTAATAGTACCTATACTACAGCAAAATTCTATGAAGAATGCGTACTAACAAAGCGTTGCTTAGCAATCAGTGACAGGCAGATATTAATAACCTTTCTAAACTAGAAAACATTATGCTTTTTTTTTTATTTCAAGATACTACTTTATCAAATATTCTAAGCAATTTAGATAGAATTATAGTAGTCTTGAAAATTACCTAATCTTTGCAATTTAATATGCAATGTCTTCAGATTACAAGGAAAATGTGAAACGTAAACAAAAGCTAGTGAAAAACCAACAGTTTTATTTATAAATGTACTAATACTTCATTAACTTGCTTTTTATAAATAATGCAATCAATTCACAGTGCTATAAATGCTATCGACATATTATTATATGAATTTAAAAAACTTTTTGTGGTTTTAAACAGTAGTAAGAAATACCGTACTTTCACAAGGGGTCGGCTTACATTATGCGATCGATTTCAAATGTAATGAATTTAAAGGAACATTTTTAAAATAATTGTCAATTTTATTGGAAATTTAGTTTAAAACTGCAAACATGTTTGTAATATCTGAACTCTATAAGTTATAGGACTATCAAGTGAAAATAATTTCAGCTTTATTATTATTTTCGATTTTTTTGTCAAAATATTGAAGTTTTATGAGTGATTCTGGTAATTTATAGCAGTAAAAAATATTAATCATGAAGTTACGAAGTAATGTGCAGTAACCTGGTAAGAAATACGAGATTTATGTATTTTTTTTTGTCATCTAAGTTGTGATGACCCTAATTTGCTTTGTTCTCTACCATATCATCCCTACCAACATTCAAAGTTTACGTCAAAGAATTCTACCTTTCGCAATAATTACTTTGCTGCTGCTGCACTGTTACTTATTCCAGATATGGTAATATGTGTATACAGAATGTTTGGAAATACATGTATAATCCCGAAACATGGCCATACAACCTAGCACAAAGAACACAATTAATATGTCAAAAAATAATTTCACGTAAATTGAGATTTACATACAAATATTTGAACAATTTGTTTTCAATTAATATGCTACAACCCTGAAAGCTTACGTGCCGTCCCGGCGTACTCGCTTTCCCTCTCTCATTACTTCTCACTCTCTCTCGTTTCCTAGAATACACTTTGATATCGCCGACGCGCGCACTCGACTGCGTATGAGTTTACTTGTAATTAAAACAATTTAAGATTAAACAGATACATACCTAGAGACAGCGTTCTAATCACTCTTTCAGCTCTCACTTGTCAACATTACCTACACTTCACCTCCACCTTATCAGTCCAGGGTCTCGATATGCCGGCCACCGCATAAAACACATATCTCCATTCGACTCGACACAGACCGTGTTCCTCTCGACGTAAAATCATATCCTCTGTCTCGATGGAATAGGTGTTCGGCCGGCCTCCCTGTGGCACACCAAGGAATGAACCAGTTGTATGTTTGTTCAAAATGAAGTCCACCTCCATTCAGAGACAAAAATCACGTTTCATTCAATTGTCATTTAATTTATTTAAAAAATTAGTGTCACTTTTCACTTCACTAAAAGAGTTATTAATTTTCATTTTTAAGTCTTCTAGGGTATGTTCGTCTACATACACTCGGCGTTTGATTTCTCCCCATAAGAAAAAATCGCAGGGTGTAAGGTCCGGAGACCTAGCCGGCCACGGTACGAAGCCACCACGATCGATCCAATTTTCTCGATCCAAATAACCTATCCGATATACCGATCCAAGTACGACAACGGTATTTCTTCAATCAAATTTTCTTTGGTATTTTGTAACATTTCTAAATAACTCGCCCCGGCCAAGGTGCCGTCGATAAAATAATAGGGCTATTTTATTTTTTCTTGAAATATAAATAATCCCCGCCCACACATTACCACTAAAACACACTTGGTTAAGTGTTACTCTTACTAAATGGGGATTATTAAATGACCACTAATGTTGATTATGCCATTGTACAGTCCCACACGTGTGAACCTCATCCATCCACAAGACTATGCTCTTCGAACAATGAAAAAAAGGTGTAAAGGTGTAAGTCTAAAAGAATTAGTTAAAAATACTGAAAGCTGTGCATGCGAACTAATAGAGCGTTTAAATATAAGAATAGATTTGCTTGCATGGAAGTAATTAAAAAAAATGTTACTTAAAACTGTGTTTGGTTTAATTTTAGTATGTCTATGCAAGTTTTGAGGACTTGTACATAAATGGGTACTAACGTGCCTGCAATAAGCAATAAGTAATTATGAACTGCACGAGAACAAAATTATAATTATAGGCAAATATTACATTTTCAAATATTTGCTTCAATTGATAAGTATTTGTTTTGAATCGTATGTAGGTAAAATACTCTTCTTTTTGGAGTTACTCTAGTTAATATTTCAAAATATAAAAACATCGATCAACAAGTGGAAACGTAATTTCAATGAGGAAGTATTTTTAGAAAAAAAAAGCACCTCACTAGTCGACGACTGTAGTAAAAGTTGATTTTTGCAACGAATCGAATGGACCAAATATAGTCATTTCCGTTCTTTTTAACTAACATATTATAAAACTGAAATTTGCAAAGTTCGAAACTTAGATAACATATCTCCGGCTGCAATTGGTTGGTTTCAAAGTTACCTGTTAGGGCATCGGCATCGGCAACGCATCCGCATTGACGATACTGCCTCTTCGTGGTGCAATATAAATGCCGGCGTTCCGCAGGGTGGCGTCTTATCTCCTCTTCTCTTTCTATTTCCATTAATTCTATCACTCACATGCTTTCATGTTCCTATCACCTCTATGCTGACGGTTTACAGTTATACGCTCAGGCACCGTTTCTGCAAGACTCAGAAGTAGTATCTGTTAGTAACTCAAACCTATCGATTATTAGTAGTTGGAGTCAATCATACAGTTTGACCGTTAACTCTTCCAAGTCTCAAGCGATAATAATAGGTAGTCCTTGTTTCATTTCTAGGATCGTTTTTGACCAACTTACTGCTGTAATTCTTAATGGTACTATTATTTCTTATGCCGAAACTGTCAAAAATGTTGACGTCGTTTTTGATCGCAATCTTTCCTGGAAACCCCAGGTAGAGGCCGTTAGGAAAAAGGTGTTTACGGAGCACTTGCGGCGTATGGCTCTCTGAATCGTTTACGTAATTTTTTACCGACTAGTACCAAATTCACTTTAGCGCATTCTCTTATGTTGTCCATTAGTGATTAAAAAGGAACTTATTGCCTTTAAATAGATATTCTCTGAACTCCAAATAAAATATTAAGTTGTAAGATAAATAGACTTATGTATTTCTTGATAAATATTTAAACAGAAGTAACAAACTAACAATGACAAAGAATATAAAGAGAAAAACAGTGGCCTATCAAAAGATATATGAAAGAAGGTTGATGTGTAAACTAAATAGTTCCAACATTTCCCCTACTTCTGAATACATTAATAGGCCATTATAAATGTTAAATTAAACCTAATCCTTTCGTTAAACACTGGTGTCTTTGCTTCGATAGAAACTTGGTTAAGACATCTGCCTTCATTTCATTTGTCGGAATATATTGTATACCAATAATACCACTAGCAACAGTATCCCTTATAAAATGATGTCTAACATCAATGTGCTTTGTTCGTGAGTGATGAACGGTTTTTTTTGTTAGCAGTTGAGCTCCCTGATTATCGCTATAAATACAGACACCATTATCCAAACCAAACACTTCCTTCAATATGTTTTTGAGATATATTGATTCTTTTGCATCACTAAGTGCCATATATTCGGCTTCTGTTGTTGACAAGGCGACTGTTCGTTGTTTACGAGATTCCCAAGATATAGGTCCATTTAAATAAAATACATATCCAGTGTGGGATTTCCGGTCTTTTAAACATTCACC